GAAATAATTTCAATGATTTTTGAAAAGAGCATATTCTTTCACAAACATCGTTAATAACTTTTCAACTAAAAGAGGTGCAAACTTAGTTGCTGGAGCAAAACTGAGCGCCATCAAAAGCTCTAAAAGTGTCAACTTTGAATAATTTGCGAGAAATCAATCCGAAGTGTTTTTATGTTACTTCATACGCGAAGTTTGCGATTTTCAGAGTTAGTTGGAAATGCTATCTAACATTAAGCTTTTTAGTGTGATAATTTATTAGCTAGAGAATGATGTTAGAAGAGGGTAGGTAGATAGTTCCATTAGAGTAGATTTAAAGAATAAACTTCAAGTCTCCTCATCCATTAATGTTTGAGTTAGGTAAATAAGTGTGCGTTTGACTTGTACTGTCGCATTAATGGCCCTTCGCTCATTTTCAACTTCTATTCAATTTTCATACTGCCGTTCTCTAGCGGAATTATCAAACTATTTTAGAATTTCATAAGGCTCGACTTATGAACGAAACATGAATTCCATAAGTGTAACTTATGAATGTTTTTCATCTAAAATATGGTACCTCTTTATTTGAGCAATTCCCCACTAATTCGCAAATCGGTTAAGTTTTGTATTTTTTGATTTAGTTGAAAATTTGCAGAAACGTTCCTTATGACCGACAATACCATTTTGCTTCTTCATATCGCCAATTTGAATCCAGCCTTATTTTTGAAAAGGGCTAATAGAAAAATATCAAGCTTATCTTCAGAATTTTTTACTCGAAAACTGATGGCCCGATCGGTTTGGTGTCTTGCGCAATTTATTTTCTTGCAAATTCATATTTCGCTCGTTAGCATATGCAAAAAACTTATAATTGCAATTTTTTGAGAATGATTTCATTTATTTTTACATTGTTAGATTTATATAGTTGTATTTGAAATCCATACTTTAATTCTTAGTAATATCGACAACTTTCTTTTCATTATTACAGTTTTAAAAGTGTTTGACTTCTATTTATCTTTCAGAAATAGGAATAAATGAGTGGTATTTTTGAGTTCCTTGAATGGTTATAGCCCTTAAGTATTGTTCGTTGAGCTCGTGCTTATGAGTTTCACATTCTTCAGTAGTTAACAAAAGAAAATTTGAGTCAACTGATCCTCGTTTCGTATAATTCCCTTGCTTTTTTTTATCAGATGTTCACCTTCCCTAGCTAGACTAGCTCTGGTACCCATATGTTTCAGTGTTCCTCTTTTAGCATCACATGGACTTTTCCATGCGATGTTGCGAAGAAATGCCATTCAACTTCTATTCCATATTTATTCTTAAATTGGCAAAGACTAGAATGTTTTTTTCCGATGCAGCATCGTCAGACATGAAATAAATTTTATTCACAGTTAACTGCTGTTCTGTACGTAGAAAAACAATCATTTTTGAGATAAATAAGTTTACAGATACACAATCATGGCGCAAATCTTCTGAAATTAGTGTTCGAGAAAAAATTTCTGAAGATAAGCTCGATATTTATATAAGACTGGATTCAAAATGGCGATACAAAGATGCAAAATGGTATTGTCGGTCATAAGAAACGTTTCCGCAATTATTCAACCAAATAAAAAAATACAAAAATAAACCGATTTGCGAATTTGTAGGGAATTGCTCTATACGCCTTTTCTCATTTCATTAAACCAAGCGTTGAAAGACGAGACATTAACACATGGCTCCTGTGATATCAACGTCCATGGTTCGGATCTAGTCTTCTCAGTTTGAATATTTTTAGCCAACATTATTTTCATAAGGTACATCAATGAAATTCATACCGATTTATTGTGGCTAAAATAAGTGGTTCTTATGAAATTCTTACGTTCTTTTGCTTCAGTGCAGCTTTCAAATCCTTCGACCGACGCTCTGTCATTCTTGCACTTTTGGCGATTATGAGTGAACTAAACTCCAATTTGGGCTGTTCTCATTCGCCTGTCATTTTGTTTAGTATGCGTTGTATCCCATTATCGATACTTATTTTAGATAAATGTGTGGATGGAAGATAAATTGAACACATAGGGGAAATGGATGTAATGTCAGCCTAAATGCTCCTAATTTAGGCCCATGCATAAATTCTACAGTCGAATAAATTTTTCAATAGCGACTAAAAATATCCATTAGTACCGTCCCAACGACGCGTTCATCTAGATAAAATTGATTAACAGCTGATTTTTAGCGATGGGCCCAATCTTAGATCCATAGACCAACATTAGATCCATTTACCCTACATACAAATATATATTTTATTTTTCCGTCATATAGAGGAAATGGCTCTGATGTTGGCCTATGGATCTAAGATTGGGTCCATCGCTAAAAATCAGCTATTTATCAATTTTATCTAGATGGGACCGTACTAATGGATATATTTGGTCGCTATTGCAAATTTAGTCGATTTCTGAATTTATGTATGGACCCAAATTAGGGGCATTTAGGCCGACATTACATCCATTTCCTCTATGTCATGAAACCTCGGTTGATGAGTTTCATGAAAGGCAAACAGATCAAATTTGTTTGTACCGTATGCGTGATAATGTTTGCACCATCGTACAAATAAGGTTCCCGTTTCACCTGTGCATGCAAGGCCTTGGTTTGCTTTGCATGTACGTAACCTATAGCTCATACCGTAGCTAGGCGAGTAAGAGAGGTGACACAGTCGGAAGAAGTGTTAATTTGTTTACTAAAATGAACCGCCCATTTTGCTACGGCAAGTTTTGCTATAAGAGATGCTCTTCGTGTTTATTAGCGAAATTCACATCAAAGATTGATTAATTGCGTTGGAAATCAGTTTGGCACGGCATTTGTGACCAGCATACACCTTCCGGTCGTATAAAACAGGTTAAAAACTGTACAAATCCGCAGATAAAAATTTTTGTTTTGAATTTCTGTATGGCAAAATAGTGAACTTTTCGTGAACATTAACGGTAAAAAACTCACCAACACTGGGAGACCGTGAGTTCCTGCCCAGCTGTCTTAAAAACATTGCGATATCGTAGTAGGCTGTGTATAAAAGAAAATGATTTACTTAGTTTGACAGTTTGACAGAACGATGCAAGAAAATCTTGAACTTCCTTAAGCGAAAAAATCCGGTAATCCTGTTCACCGACGAGAGCATGTTTACCGTCGATCCCGTATCAAATTCCAGAACCGACCGGTATATTAGTTCTCTTCCGGTAAAAGACGTGGCCGAAGAGCACAAGAACGTGTATCTGACCAAGCATCCTGCTAGCGTTATGGTGTTTGGATTGGTGGGTTCCGATGACAAAAATAAAAATGGACCCGGTGTTCATTCCAGAAGGCGACAAGGTCAACACGGAGGTCTACATCGGGATTTTAAGTAAGTATATTCTTCCGTGGATCGAAGAACAGTACTCTCCGAAGCCAAATGTTGTATTTCAACAAGATGGGGCTCCGTGCCACACCTCGAACCGCACTCAGAAGAGGTTGCAGGAACATCTTCCGTTCTGGACAAAGGATATGTGGCCGCCATCCAGCCCCGATCTTAATCCACTGGATTACTCAATATGGCGCGTCATGAAGGCCAAAGCATGTTCTAAACACCACTCGAGTACAGCAAGCCTCAGACAAACAAGAACTGGATCCAGACTACATTATTAGAATCTGCCGTGCATTCCGGAAGCGTGTGGAGGCCGTAATTGCAGCAAGTGGAAACTCGATCGATGATTAACATAGTTTAAGGCTCTGAGAAACCTCTCCCTTTAAATAAATAAAAAAAACAAACTCGAAAACGAAATTTTTGACAATTTTTTTAAATGTTGTCATTGCTTAATGGTGCAAACATGCGTGATAAATACGGTAGACGCCAATTGAGGTGCTAAAATGATGCGAAACTGCTCGACTTCAACAGGAATAGAGAGCTAGCAGTCTGTTTGGCGCAATGATTTTGTCGAATGATGCTGATATTATAATAGCTCACTTTTAACAGTGGCGTCGCGTAACTTACTTTTTAACTTTTCTTTATCTTTGAAATAGTGAATTTTTTTTTAAAAAATAAACAGCTTTAAATAGATACAAATTAGTGAATCAAGGAGCTAGAGTGCATTATAGAACCGATTTAAATGAATGGCTATAAATCAAATTTAAAAAATCTGAGAACAGATATAATGTGTGCTGTGGCAAAGCTTTTAACTCACACCTATAAAAAAAGGACTGGCAATAAAACATTTTTTTTTTCTAGTTTTCAATAAAGACAACAAAACGTTTTTGGAATGAGCCAAATAACTACACGTGAACTAACCTAACGTCCTAGCGTAACTTTATTTTTCAGAATAGTCGGATTCGGTACATTTTTTTCGACCCGGACTCCACAGCCCTGTTATAACAAACGAATTTTGAGCAGCTCTATAATCTCTATAATGCACACAAAACGCCAACTGAATACTACATGAATCCGCTTTCATCAAATGCATTTCCTACACACTTAGTTTTTTTCTACCGAGCTCGGCTGTGCAAATCTCGGCAAAATAAGTTTCACTGAGATCTCCGCAAAAGTGACATTTTATTGCTGAGTCTCGGATAATGCTTAGCTGAATTTCAGCAAACAAATGAAATGTTTGCTGATATCTCAGTAAAACAACGGCGCCGGTGGTGTAGTGGTAAGCGTGATTACCTCTCACCCCAGCAGGCCTGGGTTCAATACCAGTCGGCGCCGCCGGGATGTTCTGAGGCATAACATCTCTGATCACGCCTTCGTTCGGAAGGGAAGTAAGCCGTTGGTCCCCGGTTCATGAGTTGATGGGTCGATAGGTAGGGTCCAGGTGTGGGAGCTGCCTTCCTGGCACGTCGGTAGCATTGGTGCTCAGCACGGAAAACAAGATCGACGGAAAAAACAAACCAAAGGAAAAAAAAAATCTCAGTAAAACTTTTTTTGCCGAGATTTGCACAGCCGATCTCGGTAGAAAAATCTAAGTGTGTAGAACAATTAAACCGTACAAACCCACATTTTATAACAATGCTTTTATCTAAATTTTCAGCGCACCTGCAGAAATTCCGTGCGGTGATCATGGCTGCATAACCGGCCAGGCTGCTCTGAAAGCGTCCACCCTGCGGAGACACTACTACCCGGAGGGTGATTGGGGTTGGGTGATCGTGTTTGTCGGAATGCTTAGCGTAATACTGAATCACGGAGTGCAAATATCTGGCCCCCTCTATCTTCTTCCAGCTGGCGAACGCTTCAAGCAGAGTGCTGTCAACAGTACAGGTGAGTTGCATATCTGATGAAACCAAACAGTACCAATGCACGTACATTGTGCAATCCAATTTGGGTGCATCAGATTAGTGTCGAAAAATTCTCATTAGTTTCACCACAATCCGTCCCAATCGTGTTCTCTCTCCAGCAATGGGTCAATCTACAGCCAGATGCAGTTCCACCAGATCTGGGCCGGTGATAAAAGTAACTGAAAATGAAAACAAAACCGCATATCAGCCTTCGCCCCTAAATCGAGTTCATTCCCATGCTATGCTCATCGTAAAAATCAGCCACAAATGCAATCGGTTACATGGACTGAGCTAAACGAAAGCAAAACCATTATCCCTTCCAGAGATTGGCCCACTAGTCATCCAGACGGACGGATATTGAGCTGTTTTGCCACATTTTCTTAGCCAGCCCGCGAACGGTTCTATTTTTAGTCCCCAGCCAACTGCACACAGACTTTTATTTATTTTGGCTTATAAAAATGTCACTTTAACAAGTGCTGTTGCTTGACTACGTGCGCTTTCTCGCTCTCTGATGGACACTAAACGAACATTTAGTATGTAGCTGGAGCTCGATAGTAACCCACACGAAGATGCTGCTATGCTCTGTATAGATATGTGTATTCCGAATGGAGTAGGAGCGGAATGCTCCAAAAATATTTTCGGTGGGTGGGGTATTTTGGCGTCTAGGCGGAGAAAAGCCACAACCCGTAGCCAAGTTGTGGTGGAGCAATAGAGTTGGGCACTGTTAACTTATTTATGTCTGAGTTGATTGATGCGTTGAGAAACACATAGGTAAATTAATGATTTGTTTTGCTTTTTTAAAGAAAAGGCTTGTTGAGTAAAAGGTTTGATATATATTTGCTCATTAGGGGTGATGCATATATTATGTCACGCTCTAAGAAAGGAGTGGGGGTTTAAGATTTAGTGACAAGCATTGCATAAGGTATAAGAAAAACGTGACAAAAGGTGGAGGGGGGTAAGTTTTTCCTCATTTTAGCTATAAATAATTAATGCATGGCCCGTTAGGTGTAGCGCTACAAAATTAATGCATACAATCTATTGATCGACTCATTGACTAATTATTAATTATTGACTTCGGCTATTACAAATATTACAATGTTTTTAGGGATGACCGTGATTTCCATTCGTCGGAAAAGAAGTAAGGAGGTGGAGTTCTTATAGCTATTTCTACGAAGCGTTTCACACAGCAATCGAATTTTCTTTATTTGTGCATGAATATAAAAGACCCTACGATTGTGAGTATGAAGAGGTTTTAAATTATCATTCTGCAAATAACGAAAATATTAAATTTAGATTAAGTAACATAAATTGGCAAACGATTTTTAGGAATGAAAAAAATGTTGAAACTGCTGTTGACGTTTTCTACAAAATAATATTTGAAATAATATTTGAAGAAGTTCCATTAAAAAGCAGAAAACGTCAAAGTAACTCAAAACATCCTGTTTGGTATAACAGTCGAATTATAAACTTAAAAAATCGAAAGCAAAAGGCACATAAGGCTTATAAAAAGCAAGGCACCAATGAAAATTTGGCAAACTATTTGCGTATTTGCGATGAATTAAATATGACAATTGATATTGCATTTGAGGAGTACAATTCAAGAACCGAACTCGAAATAAAATCTAGTCCAAAAAAATTCTTCAATTACGTTTTAAATTAAAATCAGACAATTTTCCATCAAAAATGCATTTTAATGAAACGGTTGGTGACAACGCAGCCAATATCTGTAATCTATTTACTACTTCCTTCCAAGAAATTTACACCTCTTTTTCAGAAGATGATCGTGATCGTGATTATTTTGAATTCATCCCAGAATGTATTAGTGATATACCAGTTAATCAAGTTAATGTGCAGGATATTATGCCAACTTTGAACAATTTGGATGCTTCCAAAGGCTCTGGACCAGACGGAACTCCACCAGTATTTATGAAGAACCTGGCACTGGAACTTACAGCTCCATTATTCTGGCTTTTCAATATGTCACTAGATTCTAGAATCTTCCCAAAAACATGGAAAAGCTCTTTTCTAGTGCCTATTTTCAAAAGTGGGAAAAAATCTGACATACAAAATAACCGAGGAATTGCTATTATTTCCTGTATCCCAAAGCTTTTTAAAGCGATCGTCAATGAAAAACTATTCAATCAGATCAAAAACAGAATCACTAACATGCAACATGGTTTCTTCTAAGGACGATCAACTAATACAAATTTACTTGAATTCGTCAACTATTCTTTGGTTGCAATGGATAATGGAAACCATGTAGAAGCACTCTATACCGATTGCTTCTTTTCAAATTACAAAAAAATAGGAATTGAACCTGGACTTCTCAAATGGCTTGAGTCATATTTAACTAATCACCAACAAATAGTTAGATTCAAAGGTGAAAAATCAAACCCTATTACTGTTACTTCTGGAGTCCTTTTTTTTTTTTTCTTCCTTTATTAGAGAGATTTTTAGCCTAAGGCTAGTTCATCTCTTTCTGGAGTCCCTCAAGGCTCGCATCTAGGCCCTCTTTTGTTTATCTTATTTGTAAACGACATCTCCTTTATTCTTAAAAACATAAAAGTTTTAATCTATGCGGATGACATGAAGCTCTTTCTAGAAATAAGAAATAAAGAAGATATACAGACATACCAGATTGAAATAAACTTATTCTATGTTTGGTGTAACAAAAGCCTCCTGCAACTAAACGTTCAAAAATGTAAATCAATAGCTATTAGTAGAAAAAGAAACAAACCACAAAATACAATTGTATTAGGAAATCAGGCAGTAGAAAAGTGTGAACGAGTTAGGGATTTAGGAGTTATAATTGATTCAAAACTACCATTTACTGATCATTATAATACAATTATCAACAAAGCAAATAATATGCTTGGCTTTATCAAACGATTCAGTTACAATTTTCATGACCCGTATACAATAAAATCACTGTACATTTCATATGTACGATCAATACTTGAATATTGCAGCATAGTTTGGTCACTTTTTTCATTCACACATGAGGAACGATTAGAATCAGTGCAAAAGCAATTCTTACTATTTGCTCTTCGTAAATTAGGTTGGACAAGATTTCCTCTTCCATCTTATGAAGCATGCTGCATGCTCATCAACATTCAAACATTGAAAGCGCGTCGTGAATTTGCAATGGTTTCGTTTTGTGAACGATATAGTATCGCATCGAATTGACTCAGTAGAACTGTTATCAAAGCTTAATTTTTATATACCTTCTCGGCAACTGCGAACTCGAAATATATTTACTACAAATCAGCATCGCACAAATTATGCCAAATTTGGTCCACTAAATAAAACTATGACTGCTTACAATAAACATAGTGAAGCTATTGATTTTATAATGACAAAAACCAGATTAAAGCAGTACTTTAATTCTATTCGTAATTTTAACACATGACTTGTAACTTGTAAAAAATGGTCAAGCTAACATCATCTTCTATCGAACTGTGCTGCAAACTTAGCAAGAAATTCGTTTATGATGCCGTGGCAAACCAAAGAGAAAGTCAATGAAGAGAACCAATCAACGAGGATAGGCCCTTTTCAAATATTACGCGAGAACTAATTATATTTGCAATACATTACATGTACACTAAAAGCCGTTTAATCATAGCACTGTATGTCTTACTTGGCGTCTTACCGAGAACTCGATAACTACGACGAATAGCTGAATTGTATTTTCAGGAAAATATAAGTGACATTTCTTGATCAACATAGGAACTAAGCCGAACCGCAATGGTTTTAATGTAGATTTTCCACGAATAACATGTTTATCCACGTAAATCACCAGAACCATTTAGAACCGAAAAGAAAGCCTAGAGAATCCCAAGAGGTATATAACCTTTTATATCCGCAGACACACCGTAAGAAGAGGTGGGAGATGTCTTTCTCGGTTAGATAAAATATATCGAGTGAAAGTTTCAGAGTAGGCTAGTATATTCTCAACCGAACGCGCGTAAAAATACATCGCATGTCAATTGACATTTCATTATGTGTATCACAGTGTATCGCAATTGTACAATTGTTCCCTTTTCAGAGTTAACAATATAATGATCTGATATTAACTTTATCAACTAAACTATCTTACTAAATAAAAGGGTTGTTTCAAATTCATTTCAAATTCAGGTATTAATTAATCGAAAGTTAATCCGAAAACTTACAGTACACAATCAATTATTATAGAAACCCTCCGAGTGAGATGTTTTTCTTGCACGGTTAGACTTTCTCAGCTCCGTATTGTTATTCGAAATTTTGAATTTTCTTTTCTGCCTCCATTTGGAGCCTCTTTCTGCTCTGACTTGCCCATACCCGGGAATCATCGGTTCGCCGCTATTCGTATTGTTCTCCTGCCCCATGATCATAACGTTCGACCTTTTTACTCCTTATTTACAGATTCAGATCTGGTGCGCCATTGCGCTGACGCTTCTAATAAGTTCATAGATAAAAATTCTGAATTTTAATAGTGATGTAAACATTCATTCACGTAAACTTGTATTTAATTTCACGCAACCGATCAACTTGTAAACAATGTTGTATACAACAATGGGCTTTTGTATACAATATTTGCTACTTTGCATGAAATGTCTCAGAACTTTACATGATATAAAATGTAAACTTATATGATATGTGACGCTCCATTTATGTGCATCATACTAAACACAAATTTACTGCACAGTTCGAAAAGTAGTGTAAATTTCTGTTCAATATGATGCACACAAATGGAGCGTCGTATATCATATAAGTTTACATTATATATCATGTAAAGTTCTAGCACAATTCATGCAATTAGCAAATATTGTATACAAAAGCCCATCTTTGTAAACAACAGTTGCTCGGTTGTGTGAAATTAAATTTAAGTTTACGTGAATGAATGTTTACATCACAATTAAAATTCAAAATTTTTATCTGTGTGTGTATCTGAAAGATATTATGAGAGTACCTTTTAATAAACGTGGCTTTGATCCATCTAACAGG